TTTATCTTAAATGGATGCTTAATTTTGTAAAGCTTTTTTTGCATCTATTGATATGGTTTTTGCCCTTCAGTTTGTTAATGTATGTTACATTGATTGATTTGCAGATATTGAAAAATACCTGCATCCCTGGGATAAATCCCACTTGATCATGGTGCATGATCCTTTTAATGTATTGTTGGATTTGGTTTGATTATATTTTGTTGAGGATTTTTGCATCTATGTTTATCAGTGATATTGGCCTGTAATTTTCTTTTATTGTGGTATCTTTTTTTGTTATCAGGATGATGCTGGCCTTGTAGAATGAGTTCACAAATGTTCCTCTGCAGTTTTTAGTATAGTTTGAGAAAAATAGGTGTTAACTCTTCTCTAAATGTTTGGTAGCATTCACCTGTGAAGGCTTCTGGTTTCGACTTTTGTTTTCTGCTAGTTTTTATTACTGTTCCACTTTCATTGCTGGTAATTGGTCTGTTCATATTTTCTGTTTCTTCCTGGTTTAATCATGGAAGATCATACATTTCTAGGAATCTTCCATTTTCTTCTAGATTGTCCATTTTATGGGCGTATAGCTGTTCATTGTAGTCCCTTATGATTCTTTTGTATTTCCTTGGTGTCTCTTATAACTTTCATGTCTGATTTTATTGATTTGGCCTTCTCTTTACTTTCTTGATGAGTCTGGCTAAAGGTTTATCAGTTTTGCTTATCTTTTCTAAAAACCAGCTCTTAGCTTCATTGATCTTTTCTATTTTTAGTTTCTATTTTACTTATTTCTATTCTGATATTTATGATTTATTTCCTTCTACTAACTTTGGGGTTTTGTTTTTCTTTTCCTACCTCCTTTAGGCATATGGTTATATTGTTTACTATAATACATTTTTAGTACTATAGCTTTGTAATATAGTTTGAAATCAGGAAGTATGATACCACCAGCTTGGTTCTTTTTCCTCAGAGTCGCTTTTGCTATTTGGGGTCTTTTGTGGGTCCATACAGATTTGAGGATTGTTTTCTACTGTGAAGAATGCCATTGGTGTTTTGATGGGAATTTTGTTGAATCTATAGATGGCTTTGGATAGTATGGACATTTTGACAATATTACTTATTCCGATCCATAAACACAGGCTGTCTTTCCATTTATTACTTTTGTTTTCAGTTTCTTTCAGCAATAATCTTTCACTTCCTTGGTTAAACTTATGCCTAAGTATTTTATTGTTTTTGATGCTATTGTGATTGGGATAGTTTTCTTTATTTCCTTTTCAAATGTTTCATTCTTAGCATATAGAAATGTAATTGATTTCTGTATATTGATTTTTGTATCCTGCAATTTTACTGAAATCATTAATTAGTTCCAACAGTTTTTGTTTTTTTTGGTTTTTTTTTTTGGTTGAGTCTTTGGGATCTTCTATATATGAAATTGTAGCATCTGCAAATATCAACACTTAGTTCTTCATTCTCTATTTGGATGCCTTTTGTTTGTCTTGCCCAATTGCTCTATATTGAGCAATTTAGTCCTTCAGTACTGTATTTAATAAGAATTGTGAAAGTGGGCATCCTTGTCTTGTTCCTGATCTTAGAGGAATAGCTTTCAATTTTTATCCATTGAGTATCATGTTAACTGCAGGTTTGTTACATATGGCCTTTATTATGTTATGGTATGTTCCTCTATACCCAGTCTGCCTAGCGGTTTTTTTTTTTTTTTTTTTTGCGGTACACGGGCCTCTCACTGTTGTGGCCTCTCCCATTGCGGAGCACAGGCTCCAGACGCGCAGGCTCAGCGGCCATGGCTCATGGGCCCAGCCACTCCGCGGCATGTGGGATCTTCCCAGACCAGGGCATGAACCCATGTCCCCTGCATCGGCAGGCGGACTCTCAACCACTGCGCCACCAGGGAAGCCCGTGCCTAGCGTTTTTTAATCATGAAAGGATGTTGTATTTTACCAAATGCTTTTCTGCATCAACTGAGATGATCACGTAATTTTTATCTTTCATTAATATATTACATTTATTGATTTACATGTTGAACCATCTTTGCATCAAAGGGATAAATCCCATTTGGTCATGATGTATAACCCTTTTTGTATGTTCTTAAATTCAGTTTGCTAAGATTTTATTGAAAAATTTACACCTACATTCATCAGGGATATTAGCCTATTGTTAAAGTGTCCTTATCTGGCTTCAGAATCAGGGTAATGCTGGCCTCGTAAAATGACTTTGGAAGTATTTCTTCCTCAGGTTTTTGCAAGAGTTTGAGAAGGACTGTTGTTAATTCTCTTTTGAATGTTTGGTAGAATTTGCCAATGAAGCCATCTGGTCCTGAGGTTTTCTGTGTTGTGTGGTTTTTGATTACTGATGCAATTTCTTTGCTCATTAATGGTCTGTTCAGAATTTCTGTTTGTCCTGATTCAGTCTTGGTAGTTTGTGTTTATAGAAGTTTATGCATTTCTTCTAGGTTATCTCGTTGGCATATAATTGTTCATAATAGTCTCATATGTCTTCTGTATTTCTGTAGTATTTGTATCTCTGTAGTGTCTTCTTTTTCATTTCTAATTTTGAGTCTTCTTTTTTTCTTAGTCTGGTTAAAGGTTTGTCAATTTTGTTTATCTTTTGAAGAGCCAGCTTTAATTTTGTTAATTCTGTTTTTTTCCTCCCTGGTCTCTATTCATGTATTTCCACTTTGATCCTCCTGCTTTCTCTTTCTAGTTCCTTGAGGTGTAAAAGTTAGGGGGATTTTTTTTTTGAGATGTTTCTAAATTTCTCAATATATGAATTTATTGCTATAAACTTTCCTCTCGGAACTGCTTTTCCTTCATCCCATAAGATTTGATAGTTTGTATTTCCATTTTCATTTGTTTTGAGATAATTTTTTAATTTCCCTTTTTGTTCCCCTCTGATTGTTTAGGAGTGTCTTGTTTACTTTCCACGTATTTGTAGATTTGCCAGCTTTCCTCTGATTGTTGATTTCTAGTTTCGTAGATTGTTATCTGAAAAGATAGTTGGTATGATTTCAGTATTCTTATTTGTTGAGATGTGTTGTTTTCATTTCTTCTCGTATCATGATTTATACTAGATAATGTTCTGTGTGCACTTGAGAAGTATGTGTATTCTGCTACTTTTGGATATGTCTGTTACGGTCATTTGTTACACAGTATGGTTAAATTCTAGCATTTCTTATTGATTCGATGTCTGGATGATCAGTGGTCATTGCTGGCAGTGGGATATTGAAAGCCTCTACTATTACTGCATTATTGTCTATCTCTCCCTTTTGATCTATTAGAATTTGCTTAATATATTTCAGTGTGCCAATGTTGGGTGTATATATATATTTATGATTGTTGTATCTTCTGGATATATTGACCTTTTTATCCTTATATAATGACCTTTTGTCTCATCATTTTTGGCATTAAGTCTGTTTTGTCTGGCTATACCTGCTTTCTTTTGGTTTCCAGTTGCACGGAATATCCTCATCCACTCACATCTTCACCCTGAGCTTATGTGTATCTCTAGAGCTGAAATTATATAGTTAGGTCTCTTTAATCCATCCAGCCACTCTGTGCCTTTGATTAGTGAACTGAATTTATTTCTATTTGGAGTGATTACTGATATGTAAAGACTTACTACTGCCAGCTTATTGTTTGTCTTCTGGTTGTTTTGTATCTCCTTTCTTTGCTTTTCCCTCTGTTTCTGTCTACCTTTGTAAAGTGGTGATTTTCCACGGTGATTTGCTCAGTCTCCCTTTTTTTCATGTTTCATGACTACTCTAGATTTTTGCTATGTGGTTACCAAGCATAAACATCTTAGACATAAAATAATCCTACAGGAAAAAGACTAAAACAGTAGTTCAAACACGTTCTGTGTGTTGAACATGTGGTAGTACATATTCTCTATCTAATATCCTGAGTTTATTACAGTGCATACCACATAATCATTGTTCTGTTCAAATGGTGAATTGTTGATTAAAGATGATAAAAACAAAATAACTTACCGATTAAAGTAAACAATAAGTTGAAAAGGTTACTATTTTTCTCTAAACCCATATTTCTAACCATACATGCTTTTTTAGCAATAAATATCTTTCTTCTGGAAAGCTGCCGGTAGGAAAAACATAAAAGAGATTTATAAATAGAGTTAGATGGAACCTTAACAATCCTTACTCTTGAAGAAACTGATGCCCAAAATTATGTAGTGATTTACTCAGTTGGGACAGTAGAAAACCCAATATTGTCTCTACAAGACAATGCTTTAAGTCAAAAGTTAAAATACAGTTACTCCTCTATCCTAAAATAAAGTCTTATGTTAAGGTAATATAGTATGGTAGAAAATTAAATTCATAGATTGGCTAAAACAAACTTGTCACAGAAGTCTAATTTAATATGCTTTATAAATTTATTTATGCTTCATGAGTAGTGTCTTTTATTGCCCTTTAAAGCTTCTTCTTGTAGTTAGTGTGCCTGCCTATGAGGGCTCATTTAATTTTGATTCTCAACTCTTTTTGGCAAAGTAATTAAACGACCAAGCTTTCTGAAGCTTTCATCTCAGATTACCCACAATTCTGAATCATTAGGCTCTGCATGAAAGTTTGCACATGCTGATATACTTCTGTTCAATAGGAGTCAGAGTGTGAAGATTTGTGGCAACTGCAGTAGACCTGTGAACAACACAGCTTTCAACTGCATAGGTCCATTTATCCGCAGATTTTTTTCCACTAAATACGTACTACAGCACTACATGATCCATGGTTGGCTGAATCCATGCATGCAGAAACAAGGATATGGAGAGGCCAAGTGTCAAGTTACACATGGATTTTCAACTGCACAGAGGGTCAGCACCCCTGACCCCCATGTTATTCAAGGGTCAACTGTTTTCACCTATCAGATATATATTATTCAGTAGAGTTGAAGTTATCAAAAGTATAGCTGTTAACTCACTTTTCCTTACCATTTGTACTCCATGATGGTTTCGCAAGAGAAGGTGTGCTATTCCAGTCTCCTTGCCAGACATTTTTTTTCTTGGTAATCAAATTTATTTATAAGGTATCATTGTTACACATTTTAAGTTTACTGTTTGATGAAGTTTGACAACTGTATATTCCTGTGTAACCATCATCCAGATCATGATACAGAAGACTCCCATCATCCCAGAAACTTTGCTCTTTGTAGCACATTTCCTCCCTGCCTGCCCCTTACTTGACCCGAGCAATCACTGATGTAATTCCTAATACCATAGATTAGTTTTGCTTCTTCATATAAATTGAATCTCATACTAGGCATTCTTTTGTGTCTGGCTTCTTTCCCTCAATAATGTCTGCCAATAATATTACATGTATCGGCAGTTATTTCGTTTTTATTGCTGAGTAGTATTCCATTGTGAATATACCACAATGTATCCATTCATTTATTGATGGGCATTGGCATTATTTGCACATTAAGCTGTGATGAACATGCAACAGTCTTTTGGTGATCATGTTTTTGCTCTTCCTTAGTAAATACCTAGAAGTAGAATTTTAGAGCTATAATATAAGTATATATTTAACTTTATAAGAAGGTGCCAGACTGTTTTCCAAAGTGGTTGTACTGTTTCACTTTCTGGCCACCAATGTCTGAAGAGTTCAAGTTCCTTGCCATATTTTATTTTAGGGAACTTTCACTTACTTTATCTCTTTCTCCATATGACTAGAGGTTTTTTGGTTTGTTTTATTGGATTAGTACTTTGATGATGAAGTTATGAATTTTCAAAGGGCCAAAAATCTCTTTGCAGATGAACAAGGTGGAAGTCTAAAGTCAAAACATGACATGACAAGCAAGATTTTAGCATGCTCTGGCTTCATGTGTTATCAGAAAGAAAGACGGATTTTATCCTCAGACTTTTAATGGCAGCTAGTTGGCTGAGACCTTACTATAACAACTCTTTCAGAGTCCCTGCTGCTGCTTGAATTGTAAAGGCTGCAATTGAAATGTGTTTCTTTACTTCTTTCCAGGCTGAACGAGGATCTGCTTTATTTTCAATATCAAATATAGAATCAAAGATGCCAGGAAATGATTCGCCAGCATATTTGTTGTGGCTGCTTGGAGCAAAGATGATATGCCTAGTAGAAAAAAACAAAGAGGACAGGTTGAACTGAAGCGTGTACATATATTACATTTTATATGCTTTCTCTTTATTCATTCTGCTTTGTTAGACCGTATCTTACTAAGTATTCTGTGTCTCCTCCTGGCATTTACTTTTGTTACTCCAAAATAAAAACATATATAATTGGTTTGAGATACTTAGTTAATGGTATAATTTTAAGCAAAGAAAGGAGTTGATAAGACGCATCTCGTGAATCATATGTTGCCATCCCATGCAGTTGGAAGTAAGTAGATTCTTTCCTGTAAGTTATGGGCATTAGTTGTCTAACTGCCTAGACATCCACAAACTGACATCCATGAAGCATGGATAATTTATGGATATGTTTAATAAGAGATTAAAAAAATACCGCTGTATTGCCTTTTTTAGAGATTCAACAAGAATGACAGTTGTTCCCAGTACTCTTCAGACATTAAAAAGCAATAATTAAAGAAGCTTGTATTACAAAAATATCACAAGTGGCAAGGATAATAAAGCCCATTCCACAAAGGTAAAATGGCTATATATGGGTTGCCCACAAAGACACACTTTTTTGATCTAGAAGGAAAGTTTGCAGTTGATTTCCTACTTCACCTCATAAGTAGCTCAAGAGATCAAGTTACTTCTCTCCCCAGTGTGTGGAATTCTGCCTTCCACAAATGTACATATTTTATTAAACACTCTTATCAGGAATTAGGCCCAATAGTCAAATCCTATAGCTGCTTCAAGCTGTAAATCTACTGTAGGACACAATATGGAACTCTGTAAAGTCACTATATTAATGATCAAAGAGAAATTTATAATGTAATCATTTAGATTTCCCAAAGTACATCAGGATTTATTGCTCTTGGCTTTTAAATTTTAGTATGGCCTCAAATGGATCTTTCTTATTAAAACAGGTATATGTGCTAAACTGTTTATAAACATTAATATTCTGACATATATAAGCTGAGATTAGAGATACAGGTCATAGGTATTCCCTACCATACATGCCGTCTTCTGGAGAATTGTAAAGGGAGAGTGTAGTACAGTATTATTGATAATAGCAATCAAGTAAACCTGATGAAATTGTAAATGGGGTGTTTTCCTAATTTCTTTGTGATCATTAGTGTGTAGAAATGCCATAGGTCCCTGTATATTGTTTATGTGTCCTACAGCTTTACTGAATTCATTTATTCTAATAGTTTTTTTGTGGAATCATTAGGTTTTTCTACAAACAGTACCATGTCATCCGCAATAGTGACAGTTTTACTTCTTCCTGGTTTGGTTGTCTTTGATTTACTTGTCCTAATTGCTGTGGCTAGGACTTCCAGTACTATGTTGAATAAAAGTGGTGAGAGTAGACATACTTGTCATGTTTTGGGTTTTTCACCATTGAGCATGATGGCAGCTCTGGGTCTGTCATATATGGCCTATGTTATGTTGAGATACACTGCCTCTGTATCCAGTTTGTTGAGACTTTTTTTTTTTAATTCGCTCTGCGGCATGTGGGATCTTAGTTCCCCGACCAGGGATCGAACCCATGCCCCCTGCAGTAGGAGCATGGAGTCTTAACCACTGGACCACCAGGGAAGTCCCGTTGAAACTTTTTAAAAGTGGATGTTGAATTTCGCCAAATGTTTTTTCTCTATTGAGATGATTATATGGTTTTTATTCACTTTGGTTGGGAATTTTCTTCTTTCAGCACTTTGAATACATCATGCCACTCCCTTCTGGCCTGAAAAATTTCTCCTGGAATATCTGCTAATGGTCTCAAGAGGATTCTCTTGTTCATAAGTTGTTTTTCTCTTGCTGCTTTTAAGATTCTCTCCTTATTTCTACCTTCCTTGCCATTTTAATTATAATTTGTCTTAGATGGGTATCTTTTGGTTCATCTTATTTGGAATTGTCTCAGCTTCCAGGATCTGGGTGTCTCCCCATGTTGGGGAAGTTTTCAGCCCCCTTCTCTTTTCTTTTGGGACCTCTATAACATAAATGTTGTTTCACTTGATGTTGTCCCAGAGGTCCCTTAAGCTGTCATCACTTTTAAAAATCCTTTTTGCTTTTTGTTGCTCTGTTTGTGTGAGTTCCACTACCTGTGTTCCAGGTCACTGATTCTTCTGCTTCTTTTAGTCTGCTAGTGAACCACTCTAGTGTATTTTTCAGTTCAGTTATTGTATTCTTTCTTTAACACCATGACTTCTATTTGGTACTCTCTTATATTTTCTACAAGTTTCTCAAAGTTTTCGCTGTGTTCATCCATTCTTCTCTCACATTCAGTAGCCTCTTTGATGACCACTACTTTGAACACTTTATCAGGTAGATTACTTATATTTGTTTAACTGTTTTTCTCCTGGGGTTTTGTCTTTTTTTCTTTGTTTGTAACATATTCCCGTGTTTCCTCATTTTGCTTGACTCTCTGGAAGAGGTGGCTGTTTCATCTAATGCGTAGAAACCAGCAGTCTTGATGGAGTAGCCTCATGTGATAAACCTTACTGTTCAACCTTTCCCTAGCTCTTGGTTGTCTCTCAAACCTCTGGGATTCTCCAAGCCACCTATTTTTAATAGCTCCCAACAGCTGAGTGTGTGCCAAGACCTGTCAGTGTACCAAAGGGGAATATCTCAGTCAGCACTTAGATTCAGGATGATTGGAAGCCAGGCCCTCAGGCAGCAGCTTTTAAAGTATGCAAATGTATACCATCCTGTGGAACACGAGAGTAGGTCTGGTGGCCACTAGAGCCAGGTCATAGGAAGGTGTCCCCTGGGTAGCAGTCAAAACTCGGGGCTCCAGACAAGTGCGTAAGCTCCTTTCTGGTATATACTAGCAAGCTGTAGCAGAGCAGAGGGAGAACGTAGATGGCGTTCCCCGGCCCGTGTTCTCTGAGAGGAGCTCCACAGGCCTCTAGATGTGTGCCAAGCGTGAAGGCTGCCCCTCAGGCTGAAGCTCCAGGACAGGCAAATAGGCCTCTTCTACGGAAAGCGGGGGGGGGGGGGGGGGGGGGTGTTTCCGCCTGCTATCTGTGCAGTGACCTGAAGGTGGCAGCCTCCCACGCACTGACTCTCGGATCGTTGTAACCCTGTGGGACCCAGGAAAGCAATACCACCTGGCCGCCAGAGGCAGGGGATGAAGGGGTATCCCCTGGGCAGCAGCCACAAAAGCTGAGGCATCAAACGTGTAAGAGTTCCCCTGAGAGATGCTCGTTCTCTGGAGCGTGGCAAAGGGAGAGCATGAAGACAGCACCTGCCCTCCTAGGTCTCTGGTACAGTTTACAGTCAGCCCTTAGATGGGTAATGTGTTTAATCAGAATCCTGCCTCTCGGCCTGCAGCTGTGATTATAAGCTTATAGGCTTCTTTCCCTGGAAGACAGCCCTTGGTTCTGCTGCCTCTCTCTTGCTGTGCCTGACAGTGGTAGCTGTTTAATATCTATTCCTATGACACCCGCAAGCATAATCCCCTCTGGTCACCAGAGCCAGGCAATGTAGAGGTATCCCCGGCAGCAGCTTCAAATATCAGGGTGCCAGAAAAGGGTATAAGCTCCCTTCTGAGAGAGAAGGTCAAGCTGGAGTGAGGCAGAGGGAGAGCGCAAAGAGTGCTTCCACCAGCCTCCATTCCTCAAGAGAGCACTCCGTGGGCTTTTAGAAGTGCGCCGGAACGAAAGCCCTCTCCTCGGGCCAAAGCTCCTGGACAAGCAAATGAGCCTCTTTCTCAGAAAGACTGGGGGTGTTTTCAGTCTGCTCGTACCTTGGGGATGGTAGTCTGCCAAGACTGTCTCTCCAGTTGTTACAGCCTCATGGGATGCAGGAATGCAAGCCCTCCCACCCGCTACCCCGCGCCAAGCAATCAAGGAGTGTCTCCTGGCGACAGCTACAAAAACCAGGACACCAGATGCAAAAGGCAGAGTACCAGCTGCAAATAAAAGCTCCGCTCCAGAGATACTGGTGCTCTGGAGATCAGCAGAGGGAATGTGTAACGATCATCACCTTCAGGGAAGAGGAGGGAAAGAAAGATAGTGCCCACGAGCTTTAGCAAGGCAGAGGAAGAGTGGAAATCGGCACCCACCGGCCCCCATCTCGGAGAGTATCCCACCAGGCCCCTGCCCCTCCAGCCGGTGCTTTAAGATCAGCAAGTGAATCTCTTTCACATAAAATCTGGGTGCTTTTAAGGACTGCTCCTGTGCTGGGCCCTGTGCAGATGAGTTCCAGCCAGTCCTTTCAGCCTGAGCAGTTTCTCAGTTCTGTACATCCCTTTGGTCTTCGGGATGCAGCAGCTTTGTTGGTTCTCAAAGCCAGATGTTTGGGAGGCTTACCTCTCAGGCACAGGGCCTAAAAGTTGAGGTGGCTGATTTGGGTACAAACACTTTGCTGTGGGCTGCTGCCCCAGGAGTGGGCTTGGTGGCAAGATTGGGCCTCAGCCTCACCTACCCACATCCACGTGGCCTTTTTCTCCTTTGCCTGATTTGAAGGAGTTGCTCGGCTAATCGTCAGGTCTTTTTCAGAGGACAACTGTCCCATCTGTAGCTGTAGATTTGGTATGTCTGGGAGAGGTGAGTTCGGTATCTTCCTACATTGTCATCTTGAACCACCTCTCCCTGGCTTTAGAATATAGTCTTCATGTTCAATTAATAGTTCCAAAAAGTGTGTTTACCCTTTGACCCTGAAATCTCAGGTACTGATTATAGAGATATTAAAACAAATGTTCAAGTAGGGCTCAGGGACATTTTATAGCAGTACTTTTCATAATACTAAATAATTGGGGGGCAAAATCTAATTAAAAACTCAATAAGGACTAAAACAATTACACATGAAAGCCATACAGTGGAACACTATGCAGCAGATGAGAAGAGCTAAAATTATATATATTGGGCTTCTCTGGTGGCGCAGTGGTTAAGAATCCGCCTGCCAATGCAGGGGACACGGGTTTGTGCCCTGGTCTGGGAAGATCCCACATGCTTTGGAGCAACTAAGCCCATGTGCCACAAGTACTGAGCCCACACTCTAGAGCCCGTGAGCCACAACTACTGAGCCCGTGAGCCACAGCTACTGAAGCCAGCACGCCTAGAGCCTGTGCTCCACAACAAATCCGCGCACCACAACAAAGAGTAGCCCCCGCTCGCTGCAACTAGAGAAAAGCCCGCTTGCAGCAACAAAGACCTGACACAGCCAAAGGAATAAATAAGTAAAAAAGTTGTATATATTGACATAGATCTCTGAGATAAATTTTTACCAAAAGCAGTTGCAAAGTGATATATGGTCCCATTTATGTAAACAGAAATGAATAAATAATAAATAAATAACTATACATGTGTACATAACTGCATTCAAAATTTAACATCAAACTCATCACTGATTTTCCCTGAAGGAAATAATAGAAATGTCCGTGTGTTAGCACTGTCCCTTTTTATTCTATATAATTGTATCGAGCCTGAATTTGAAAAAGAGATGTTTGCTTATAAATCATATAAATTAAAAAATAAGGACTTCCCTGGTGGTCCAGTGGTTAAGAATCCATCTTCCAATGCAGGGGACGCCGGTTCGATCCCTGGTCGGGGAACTAAGATCCCACATGCCACGGGGCAACTAAGCCCACACCTCAACTACTGAGCCCGTGAGCTCTGGAGCCCACGCACCACAAGTAGAGAGAAGCCGACGCACTGCAACGAAGAGCCTGTGCACTGCAACAAAAGATCCTGCATGCTGCAACTAAGACCCAATGCATCCAAAAAAATAATTAAAAAAAAAAAACTTAAAAAAATAAAAAAATAAATATATAAAGATGGACTAATGATAGGCAAGAGAGTATTAACATGTAGATTAGCTTTCAACCTTTGATTTATGTAAATAACTGATGGCTGCTATTTCATTTGTATTGATAAACATTTATCCTTACATTATGTAAACTATTATAAAAATAGCAGCCATTTACTGAGTATACCCCCTCTGAGCTGAATCTTCTGCATGCCTTAAACCTACAGACCTATGGGGTAAAAGCACTGTAATCTCCATCTACAGCTGAGGAACCTGAGTCTTAGAGAAGTAAATTTGCCCAGGTCACACTTAGTATTTGGCAGAGCTGGGCTCTAAATGCCTGGGCTTGTAATCAGTTAAATTATTACTAATATTTATAAGAAAGGTAACATAGAAATATCTTTTGTATATGTCATTTGATGATAAACAGCCTTGTAAACTAGCAATTATCACCATCCTAATTCAGATGAGCAAACCCTAGATATGACTTGCTCTAAATCACACATGTGCAAGTGAACTAGAACACAGATTTTCTGACTCTAAATGCTAGGACCTTTCTAATTTTTACCAAGAAACCACGGCTTAAAATGTACGTCAAAAAACTGGAGGCTATCCAAAAGCAGCCAAGATACTGAAAGAAAACCTGAGATAGAGATAAAAAAACAATAACGATATTTCTTTAGGGGAAACTATGGCATCCATCTTCAAAAACCTGAAATGTTATATGGAAATAGATCTAGACTAATTCTTTTTGACTTCGGAGAGCAGAACAGGGTCAGAGGGAGAAAATTACAGGGAACTATATCTTTATGAAGAAAACTTTCTATTAAGTAGAACTTTCCTAAAACAGAACGAACTTCCTCATGTGGTAGTAAGCTTCCATTCACTGGAAGATTCAAACGGTGGCTGGATAACTACTTTTCTGAGATCCTACAGAAAAGATTCATGTAGAAAATTGAACTACATGAGCTCTCAGATCCCCTTTAAGATGCTGTGTCTTTTCGATTTTGTTACAAGAGTTCTTTTTCAACTATCATCTGCCGTTTACATCTGCAGCAAAGCAATACACGATATGAAATTAACTTTTCTGATAGTACAAATTATACTGTTATGCAGAATCTCACCCATATTTCCTTCAGTATACATATCCACTTTCCACTTGTCTGATAGCAGGAGTTGGGTGTGCTGGTTTTGGTGTGATAGCAGGAGTTGGGTGTGCTGGTTTTGGTCACAGTGACATATTTGGTGTCCTTTAGTGGAACAGCTGTTGCCTCCTTACCTATAGAATGGCCTCCCTGGTAAACCAAGGGGATCGATGAATGCCCTTTCCAGGAACATCAGTTGGTCATTCATAATTCTCACTGCAGTGGGGCTTTGAGAATAAGAAATAGATAATTAAAACCCTTACCATGCAACCACATTTTAAAATATTAAATAAGGATAAGGCATGAGGAAATAACCTTCTAAACTCATAGATTTTTTAAAGAAAATGCATATAAAACACACAGTAAGGCTCATATGGTAAGCTACATATAACAGCAGGGGCATTTTTCTATTATTTATAATAAGCAGAGAGACTGATTGGGAAATGGTTTGTTTCGTTTTTCAAGATCACAGACCAGAAAGAAGTGAAAGACATTTTAAATTCTTTGTAGGAGGAGAGCCAGGCCTCCTGCAAAGGTAGACAGTGTGGACTACCAAGTTGTTCTTGATAAACCAGTTAATTTTACTGTGGAAGAAAGGAGCAGAGTAAAGGCTAAACAAGACAGAATAAAGGGAAGTTGCAGGAGTCTGCAAGGAGGGAGACAGCTGCTCCTAGTGGGCAGGGAGTCCCTTCCACACTTGGAATCTGCCAACTCTCTTTTGGGGTGCTGCAAAAGTTCCCTAGGCTGTCCTACAGCCCCAGGGAGAGAGGCCCCTCACAGTGACTGATACAGCTTTCTGCCCGGATGGGAGGTGGGAAAGCTTATTCTGATAAATCTGAAAAAAATTAAGAAATGTGACATGGACTGTAAGGTGGAACAAATTATGCTTGTTAAATAATGCTTTGAGTATAACTTTTAAATTATTTTTCAACCTAACAACGGCACGAGGTTAAATGAAACGCAAAAGAAGTATTAGTAAAGAAAGAACTTCTACACCATTCACAGGAATATTGTGACTGTAGTAAACTATGCTACAAATGCACTTAAACCCATAGAATTATGAATTACCAGAAACAGTCAGAATTCTTATCATGCAAACTTCTGAAGACATGTCTCCCTGGCCCTTGCCATGGGATGAGTTTTTAGTCCATCATTCAACAGCTATGCCCCTCAAACTTTAATGTGAATACAAACTACCTGGAGAGTCTTGTTAAAGTGCAGAATTCTAATAAAGCAGGTCTTGGATGGGGTCTGATATTCTGCCTTTCTAACAAGCTCCCAGGTGATGTTGATGCTACTGGCTGGCACACCATGATTTGAGTAGCAATGATTCAGAGTTGAATGCTTCTATAAGTGTACACAGTTCATTCCAGTAACCAGACTGCTTTTCAAAACAGTAGGGAGCTTTACATTTGAAACTTACTTATTCAGATCAACTTGTGAAAGTCTTCTATGAAAATCGGAAGCAGACTTTGAGAAGTTTTTCACAGCAGAAAATAAGGAATCTTTTTTAAAAAATAGAAAAGTAGAAGGGAGATTAGTAAGCATGAGTGCTTCATATTTCAAAGGTTCATTTTCCAACGCCCCCCATTCCAGATTGCTGTGACTAAATAGATGTTGAAACTATTTTTCTACTGAGTCTTCTTTCAGATCCATGGAAATTATTAGAAAATATTGTAACAAAGAAATAATGTATCAAATTGAAAATGGCAAAATTGGTTCTTAAGGAAATAACAAATTTCAAGAGTTTAAGACATAAAAAAATCCTTTTAACTCAATTTATCAGAAACCCAGCATTCATTTATTTATTCATTCAATACTTACTTATTGGGACAATTCATATAGATCTAAGCACAATTTTCTAAATTTTCTTTGCTTCAGTTTCTAGATCTTAGTGCCTGCTGCTCGTCGTAACTTTCTGAAGGTTACTTTTTTTTTTTTTAACATCTTTATTGGGGTATAATTGCTTTACAATCGTGTGTTAGTTTCCACTTTATAACAAAGTGAATCAGTTATAACATATACATATGTTCCCATATCTCTTCCCTCTTGCGTCTCCCTCCCTCCCACCCTCCCCATCCCACCCCTCCAGGTGGTCACAAAGCACCGAGCTGATCTCCCTGTGCTATGCGGCTGCTTCCCACTAGCTAGCTACCTTACGTTTGGTCGTGTATATATGTCCATGCCTCTCTCGCGCTTTACTGACCACCCACTACTCATTCTCAGCACCCCTATAGTACCCTCTGTGCACCCCTTTAATAGATTTTCCCCTGCATTTTGTCTTCTCCTTCCCCATGAGAATTTAAGCTCTTTGAAGACAATGACTATTTCTTAATCTTCTTTATATCTCCCAGGAAATAACACAGCACTTGGTACACAGTAGACACTCAGTACATATTTGCTAACTTTGATATATACTAAGAATATGTACTTCCAGAATAATAAAAGAAAATGGTTGCAATAAAACAGTAATAATAGCTAACATTATGAGCACTAAGTGACAGTCACCATTGTTTCCACATACCAACCAAATGAAATCTCCACAGCAATCTTGGAAACATTTTACTTTACTATTTCACTCATAATAAAACTGACACATAGGGGGTTAAGTAACTTTCTCGAGGTCACACAATGCCTAAATATTAGAGCCAGGATTTGAACCAGGAAACTGCTTCCAGACCCAATGCTTAATGCTGCTACACTACACTACACCACATTTCACTTCTGCTTTGCAGGAGATACATGATGTGGAACAGCAACCACAAAATGGCCAGATATAAAAGGAAAGAATGCTGAAAACCATGTAAAAAAATCCTCCATGTAGAAAAACATGAATAGGTAAATGCTGCAGTAATAGTGATAATAACGTAATACTACATATATGTAGTAGAAGTGGTGGCTTTCTCTACTTTCCAATCTTTGTGTAATATTGTTACATTTTAATAGTATTGTTCTTATAACAAAACATTTTTAAAGGCAGCAATATGGGGAAAATATTTACCAACCCAATGTTTGTAGCACTTAGCAAAATGGATTCATCCTACAAATATCAAACTAAATCACATTCTTTAATAGGTGTTTAAAGTTTTTTTTCTATAAGTCAGGATTAAGAAATGAGGCAGGGATAAATTCTAGGATGAAATGGTATGCATGGATGACAATAGGAGGTGACATCTTAAAACTCTAACTTGATGATTATAAAATATCTGTCCAGCTATTTCTTACCAAATGATACTTGATGGTCTCTTAATTGTTGGTCATATTTCTTGGATAAGCTGTAGATACCTGTTGCATAGTTTTCCAAAGATTTTGCATAGTCTTGAATGTTGAAAGGAATGATTTTAGAGTCTGCAAGCTCATAAACCAGTGCTCCTCGTAACTGAGCTACAGCAAGCTGTTTTTTAAACGTGGGGTCATAAAAATTCTCTACCAATTCAAATGTCTCATAAATTGTATGGTACATTGGATAGCTGCTGTAATTATCTGTTTTCTGAAAAAAAAAAGGTGGGGGGACCGAGTATATACAAACATTAAATATTCAAATTATAATACTTTATGGAATCATAAAATGATTGTATTAAAAAACATAACCATACGACACCCTGAGTTTCATCACAATGAGTGAAAAAATTAAGTCTAATTAACTAAAACCCCACCACCAAATTTTCACCAATTTAAAATTTTACCATTATTCATTTTATAATTCATATAATCTTTGTTCAAAACACTGCTTCCTGAAATTTTTCCCTATTGCTTTGCGGACAATTAAATTAAGGAGTACATGCTCAAATTGCATACCAGCACAGTTTAAAATTATCTATCAACTGATTGAGAATGAAAGGTTCTGAGCAGCTAAGTATTGTTATAGCTGAAGGATTATTCAGTTGACACTTTAACAGGTTTGAACTACAGGGGTTCAACTTATACATTAATTTTTTTCAATAAATATGTACTACAGACCTACACGATCCTGAATGGAAAGCTATGTGTGGGTTTTCAACTGCTGGGAGGGTTGGCACCCCTGTTGTTTAAAGGTCAACATTTCAGCCCCTTCCCTCCCTTCCCAAATAGTATATAACCACATGCCATTTAACCTTTGTTACAAAATTAAGGGTTACCATTATAAACATAAATTGTTACAGGGTGGTACTCCACATAAATATTTTTTACTTCTTAGGTCTGCCTTTCCTAACTTTAGTTTTTACCTATCTGCTACTTTGCCGTAAAGCTATCATTCTTCTTGCTTTTAATATCACTAAAAGGCATCCCTGTATCAGTCTCTCTCCCTCTATCTGATATTCTGCTTTAAATCTGCATTGTCTTAGAAACTAGCTAACTTTGTTCAGAAGATGACAGTATAAAAGTGAAGAAGCTTTGACAGAGGTAAAGCGCATCTTTTATGTATGAAGTGTAATGAGTATTAGTATACAGATTTATGTATTTATTATGGGTTATTCTGAAGGTGTTTTTGCTTACTTCTCTGTTAGTTGTATACTGGATAGTCAAATTTGCAACGGATATGTATTCTAGACAAGCAAGATGTTGGCATACTGCAACTATGATTAGAAAATTATTAAAATCTGTGACAAATTTGAGTTTACTGATGTAATCTTCAGTTTGGTTTATGACATAATTTATAACAGACAAACAAACACGGTATAGGTTCAAAACCCGTGTACTCACATATCATCAATGTGTTTGAGTGGCAATGGTGCAATGCAGGCAATGCAGATCAGAAAAGAAGAATTAGATTTTCCAACAAAGCCCACATCAGGAAAAGGATGCAAACCTCTTGGTAGTGATAACCAGCTAAGTACCTGGCATTACTCTATCAACTACCACTTCACTGAATAACCCTGGCAGTGAACATTCACAAAATAACACAAATTATTTCCTAGTCCATCTACAAAGGGACCTGCAGGCTATCTCTATCCCTGCAATTCTTCCCAGGCCACATGTCCACTCGGTGCCTGGTACCCAACAACTAAATGACAGAATTCCTAACAAAGAAAATGTGGATGAAGTGCTCTGTATCCAAAATAATAAAATGGCTTACCCTATTCTTAGTGTACCGGACTCTTCCTGAAGCAATTCCAAGTCTCTGAAAATAAGCTTCAAAATCACTTCCAGATCCCAGCTTGTTGATTCTAAATGTAAAATATGATACACATACACACACACGAAGAAATCAATGCATAAATAAATAATATAAAATTAAATAGATGGCACCATGAATCCTGCCCCAAGAACTGCAAGGAGTTGTATGGCACGTTTATAAAACTTAAGAAAAGGTAAACCACCACACCTATTCATATGTGTGTAAACCTATAAATCTGAGCTGATTGAAAGCAGAGTCGGGCAGTGACACTAAATACGGCAGCCTGGTAACTAGGATATCTTCCGTATCTTCAGCGTTTATGGTATTTGTTTTGAGGGAAAAACAAATAAGATACGGTCTCTGCCCTCAGAGGACTATAGTAAGAAAACTGCCATGAGAAAGTCTACATTTAAGATCATGAAGACTCTAAAAGTGCCTTAGTTTATTTCAGAAATAAATCTAATTATAATATATTGCTTTGCATATAATTAAGAAGCCACTACATACATACATATATATAAATAATATATAAATATATACATATAAAATGTAATGATGGGATTTCCCTGGTGGTACAGTGGTTGGGAATCCTCCTGCCAGTGCAGGGGACACAGGTTCGATCCCTGGTCTGGGAAGATCCCACATGCCGCGCAGCAACTAAGCTCGTGAGCCACAACTACTGAGCCTGCACTTTAGAGCCCTCGAGCCACAACTACCGAGGCCTCATGCCACAACTACTGAAGCCTGTGCACCTAGAGCCCATGCTCCGCAACAAGAGAAGCCACCGCAATGAGAAGCCCACGCACCGCAACGAAGAGTAGCCCCCACTTGCTGCAACTAGAGAAAGCCCGCACGCAGCAATGAAGACCCAATGCAACCAAAAATAAATAAATAAATAAAAACTTTTTTAAAAAATGTAATGTCATAGAAGATTTTCGTTCAAAAATAAGTCAGTAAAACAGAATATAAAATTACATATGCATTAAGAACCTAACTATATACTTCCAAACTATTAGACATGTTTTTGAGATTGAGACCTTGGGACGTTTTTTAAATCTTTTTTTCTACTCTAGTGTTTTTTTGAATAAGCATTTAAAACATAGTGGAGGGGCTTCCCTGGTGGCGCAGTGGTTGAGAGTCTGCCTGCCGATGCAGGGGACACGGGTTCGTGCCCCGGTCCGGGAAGATCCCACATGCCACGGAGCGGCTGGGCCCGTGAGCCATGGCCGCTGAGCCTGCGTGTCCAGAGCCTGTGCTCCGCAATGGGAGAGGCCACAACAGTGAGAGGCCGCGTACCGCAAAAAAAAAAAAAAAAAAGAATCCGCCTTCCAATGCAGGAGATGTGGGTTGCATCCCTGGTCAGGGTACTAAGATCCCACATGCTGCAGAGCAATTCAGTCCATGCGCCACAACTACTGAGCATGTGAGCCACAACTAGAGAGCTCGCATGCCACAACTACAGAGCCCACCCGCTCTGGAGCTTGCACGCCACAACTAGAGAGAGAAGCCTGTGCACCACAACGAAAGATCCCACGTGCTGCAACTAAGACCCAACGCAGCCCAAAATAAAATAAATAAATAAATATATTTTTAAAAATTCCTGTAATAAAAAAAACATAGTGGAGATACATTTAAACTTTCACAAGACTTATTTGCAATATGGAATGAAGCTATAAATTGCTACCACCAGCTGGTTTTAGAAATAGTATAGGAGTAGAAAACAAATATAAATATAAAATAAATACAAGAAAGCTGCTATTGTATACATGAGAAGTAAAAGTTAATTCTTACATAAAATCTAAACTAATTAAAGGTAAAGACATAACTTGGTAGTTACTGATAATGCACCTTAATAAATTTAGAAAGAAATAATCCATCATTCATTTTTTTACTTCATTTGAATTGTATTTATTAATGTATTTAATACACATCTTAATGTAATTTTATGCAAGAATGCAAAATAATGGCTAATAATTTTTTACTAAAAATTTGCAAAAATACTCTCAAATTGTTAAGACATCTGAGAATTGCCTGTCTGGAGAAACAAGGGGCAAAGGGGAACTCAACTGATTGTGTGATAGAAAACGTACATACAAGTAATTTACCTAGGCAAAGTTTTATTTTCAGATGAAGGGTCCTTTTCTAACCAGCTTTCATAAAGAGATTTACTCTCAAAACCATCATCCGGGCTGGAGATCTGGAAAGATAAATCAAATATTGGGAATAAGAGGTAGAATAACTGAATTTACTCCAATATAAAACCACATGTTAGTTAATATCGACTTCTACGTTTATCTATGTGAACATTTGTGTATCATATTCTTTACAGAAAAATATGTTTTTGCAAATTGCAAGAAAAAAATCCAGCCCAAATTCTTGTTCATTTATTATTCCCACTTACTTGTAATTTTGCCATGTCCTTAGGAAAAAATTTCTTGCTTATGCTGGTAAACTTTTCAATAGCATTTCAGATTTTTAACAAGTGTCATCAGTTCAATGTTGGGCAGCTTAGATTTCTTTCAGTGGGAAGTCACTGGGAGAAAACTTTATATATATAATATTTACTTTAGTAAATTGCTTTTGTCCAAGATGACCTACAGTGAGGCCTTAGGGCAGGAGACAGACATGAAGAAGCTGAGCTTGAAATTGTCAATATGAGTCCTGGTTTTGTAGGGCAGGTGGGGTGAGGAGGAACTGTTATTTTAGAAAGTCTGTGTTTAAACAATGTTGGAATTTGATGAGTTTTTTAAAAACTACATAACCTCAGGTTTCTAGCTGGGAATTTTAAGAACTTATGTATATACATAAACATTTTTTATTACCCTCATTAAACATATACTTACAAACTTATACTTTCCTTTTCTTTCTCCACTCTAAGAAAAGCAGAAGCATGTGGTAGAAGAAAAATCATCATACATATTGGCTGCATTTTGTTTGTTGGTTTACAGTTCTGCTTTGTTCAAAATTGGACCAAAGACAGACCCTACTTATGAAATGCTGAAAGCATTATAACTTTTGGTGTATTGCTTCCTTTCTTTAAACCCTAGTTTCCCACATGTGGACATGGGGATACTGGTACCCATCTTAAGCCAAACAATATCTTCTCTGATATCTTCTCAGGCCTTTACACAGAGTTGGTTATTCCCTCATCATAGCATACGAGGTCCTCAGCTTAAAAACAGTCTCAGCACGCCACAGAGACACCCCCTTCCCACCAGCTTGTGGGAGCTTCAGGGATGTTCTGCTCATTTCCAGCCAAATGACTGGGTTCTACTCTGTACGCTGCTTCTGCCAATTTGCAACAGCTGAGATCCTGCTCTAATTCCTACAAACTGCTTGAACTGAATTCCCTGCAAAATCCTCTTCATTTTCCGGAATCATACCATCCAGGTCTAGCACGAGCCAGAACTGTGTCCCTATGGCCTGTACAGCTAAGATCAGAATTTTCTGTTTCAGCTATATGCACTGTTATAATTGGTGGTTCTCCCCCATTATTTCAACACCTTGTCCATTTCCTGCTTCTATCAGGCAGGTAGGTTCCCTTCTCTCCAAGCTCAGCCCTCTCCACCACACTCCCCAGCATGGTTTGACCGTGCCAACACACACCAGGGGTTGATAAAATTGTAATAAACAGTTTAGGAGGATAAAAGTCTCCTTTTTCTACTGGGTTTTTGTATGGCCACAGATAAGCATCTGCCTTTGTACAAAGGGGGGATAGAATGAAACTTCTGCTTATTGGCCCTGAAATTATTACTATCCCTCACATCAAAGGCAGGAGCCACCTCTGTAGGACAGAACATGAATGCATACCTTGAGGAGGGTTCTCCCAATAAAGATTGTCTTTACAACTTGCTTTCAGATGAGATGTTTTTATGGGACATTCCAATGAAAGGATCAAGGACATAAGCTACCCAATACAGTGAGAGAGTTGTGATAAGAATAATGAGAGGACTCTCATTTGGGAGAATAAGATGTTAAAGACACTAACAGTGAAAAGGAAAGGGCAAGATTAAGGAAGATTGGGAAATAGTACCTACAGAAAATTGATACCTACTTCACATTGTCTTCTACGTGATACCTACTTGAAAGAAATACGTCTATAGTTAAATCCTATAACAGGTAATTATTTAATGATGTACACAGATATTTAATGAACAGATTACATAATTTTTAGAGATTTAGAGTACATTAGAGTTTTCAGAGTATTTTATATATCAATAAGTAATATTTATAAAATTCCTGTGTGGTAAGTAAGCATGTGGAATTATTTCCATTTTGCTTTTAGATTTACTGCAGCTTAACCTGTTCACTACACTGATACAGAGTAATCTTTCTAAATGAATAAATATGATAATGTACAACTTTGTTAAAGATTCTTGAATTTCTCCATCACCAAGTTTCTGAACCCCTATTTGTCATGCCCCATTTTGTACCAGCCTTTCACCAACACCTTATGCTTAGGTCACACTAAGTTACCTACAGGTCAAGAAATACGTTCTTTCATACCTCCACATCTTTTTTAGGTACTGCATCCTCTGCTGAGAAAGCATCTCCCTTACCTTCACATCCCTCCATATTACAGCCCAACCATTAATTCTTCAGGAAACATCCTCTAATGTTTTCCCACTTCCCCAGCTGCCCCAGGATTTTAGCTTCTCTGTTCCACAATTGTTCTCCATTGTATATAGTATCCAATACTCTAGTGAAATATATATAGTTCCTCATTTATAGGTCTGTATCCTCTCTAGATCACAGAGTATTTGGATTCAGTAATCTTTTCCTTTTATCATTGCAGCTGCTAGAATTCATTTTATAGGGCCTGATACATAGTAAAAATGTAATAAACACTTGTTGAATGAACAAATGAATGAGTAGCCAAGGCAATCTTTGAAATCAAGGCTTTTCCATTCCAGCTCAGCGTTCTTTCTGTTCTATAAAAATGTCTATGCCAGACAAAATGACAGACCCCATACTTTATAACAAATTTATACAATTATTAAGAACTATTATTAGGACAGAAACTAGCGCTACTATTTTCATAGTTATGTCACATAAGTAAATATTATATTAAAGATTTTGTTCTGCTTAGTTATTATATCAATACAAATCAGCTATGTGTCGCCAGTTTAAAAATAAGTATCACTAATTTAGAAAACAAGTTATTCACTTACTATTCATCAGAAAACATTAAGACAGAACTACTTATATACCTCTTTTGTCAGTTTATACACCAATTGGTAAAGAAGGGGTGTACAGTCAACTCTGAGAGTATAATTGCCTGAAAAATAAATAAGACACGCAGAGTATATTAATACTTCCAAATGAAACTCCAATCTATTTAATTCTAACTTTATTTTCTAATTATAAACAAGATATAATTACTTCAAATTGAAGGCATCATTCCCAGAGAATTAAAAATAGTGTGGAAATAATTCTTCAGGAGTGAGAGAGGCTGCGGTAAACACTTAGGACATTGGAGGGCATAGTTGGATTTTGCTGCTAAGGCAGCAGCTCTCATCCTTCAGTAAGGCAGTATCACTTAGGGAGACTTTAGCAAAGGAAGTGATAAGGCCACAGTATTCTTTCTTCATTCATTCAATTCTGCCTTTTTTTCTTTTTTCCCTGGCTGGGCCGCTCAGTTTGCAGAATCCTAGTTTCCCGACGAGGGATACAACCCAGGCCCACGTCAGTGAAAGCGCTGAGTCCTAACCACTGGACCGCCAGGGAATTCCCTCATTCATTCAATTCAATAGTATATATCAAGTCATTAGACTACAGCATGTCAGTAGCTAGTAAGTGTGCTTTGACATTTATCTAGAAGTAATAATACAGTGAAAGCCTATAGATACAAATGTCACATGTCAGGGTCAAAAGGAAGTCTGTAGTTTGTACTCACTTCAAATTTGCTCCAGTACATACAGGAAGTATTTCTGTATGAAATATTCTGTAGACCAATCCTTTTACTATCTGCACATGAAGAATGTAATTAAGTACTAGAATTTTAACTAGTAATCCAAGAGAGGCAAATGGTAAATATACTAAAGAAATTAGGATCAATAGCTTAGTTATGAATCATATTGATTCATTTGAATCATAATGATTTTCTCTCTGGTAAAAATGGAAAATGGAGGTATTATAGAGGTGTCTTATAGGAGAGGATAATCTTAGAAAGTTTACAAGCTGAATTTACAGACTTAAATGATGGTATACTATTTAATAACAACCCCAAATAAAATTTACCTTCTATAGATGAATCTGAGTTGATATAAGCAACGCTTCTCTCCTGAAGTGATTTTACATTCTCCTATAGTTGAAGCAAAAGTTGTTACTTAACTCACAGCATTTACAATTGTGAGAATGTAAAAAAAATAATTTAGTATAAGAGTGGTCTGCAAATACCTTTATAAATCAAATACCTATGCCTTTGACAATAATTTCTGAGAAATTATCTGATTGGTTGACAACATTAACTCAGTTAAAACAAGTAAGAAAAATATTATGATGCTGTAGCTACTGTTTATAGCAATAGCAGTGAGCCCTGAGGCAACAGCATTTTGAAAATGTGGTTCCTTGATCCCCTGCAGCAGAATATGAAGGGTAAACCTCAAGGAATCTCAGCCCCACCCCACATCTACTGAATAAGAATTGCTCAAAGTAAGGCCTGGAAATCTATAATTTTTAAAAGGTATCCCTGGCAATCCTTACCTACATTAAAGTGTGAGATCCACTGAAATTGGACACCCATGGAAATTTATCATTTTAAAAGTGAGTAATTGGAAACTTCCATTTATCTAAATATTTTTTTAAAAGATATGAAGAAAAAGAACAAAAAAGCAGGAGAATTGAGAAAAAAACAAGAGAGAAAGATGGATGGACAATAAAAAAAGATGTTCTCTCTCTCTCTCTCTCTTTCTCTGATTCACACACACACACACACACACACACATCCAAGAAAAATAAATCAGAGAAAAACTAATATCATCACCCTCAGATAAGAATATGCTGAGAGGCCACTTTACTTCTCTCTCTCTCTAGCTTTGTACCTTATAAGAACATGTTACAATAAAATCATTTAAAGCTGTGAGTGGTTATCACACAAATGAGGATTCTTGCCTCTACAGTTGCCCACACAGGCCAGATCACAGCTGACTGTGCTGTAGATAGAGTAAGCGTTCCCATTATAACAGATTTAGAGTAGAAATAAAGAAGATTCCTTAACTATATTTAAGGAAGGTGGGACTTCCCTGGTGGCTCAGTGGTTAAGAATCCAAATGTGAATGTGATCAAGAATCTGGTAGAAAACTGGAAACAGTATTGAAACTGTCTTTTAACCCACATGTATTTAAATTAATGCAAGGCATATTATATCTTGGATTTATTTTAAGCTGCTGAAATTATAGGAACAGAGACATGTATTTATATATACATATATTCATAAGAAATTACATATTTCTAAAAGTAAATGACCTTAATGAAATTTGATTCATCTAAATTAACAGTCTATTCCAAAATACATATTCATAATACCAACGTAATAGTAAAACCTCAGAATATAAATGGAATAAAGCAAAAGTGATACAAATGACTGTATGTGTGTGATTTTACTCCCATATTTATTTATTTCATATTATTATTTTAAAGTAAAGTAAGAGGAAAGGAGTCAGAAGGAAAGCATTTAAAAACTAGACACAATGGCAAGAATTATAAGACATACTTTAAAACAATTCTATAATATCTGGACTTAAAAAAGATAAATAGAGGATGGTGGAGGGAAAGTGCTTTATGGCGCATTTGCCTTTATAAAAATGCACAAGCTTACCTTGCACATTTAGGAACTTAGAGATACTCAACAGAGAGGCTAAGGGAAGAAGATAAAAGAGGGGGCCTAGGAGAGACACTTAAAGGCTAAGCATTAAGACCCAGTGACAAATAAAAATTAATCATAACTGAAGGAAAAATAAACCCTTGAAATTGTAACTCAGTTTACAAAATTATCATATTATACTCAACAATCAGGAACTTTTGTGAATGGTAAAATATACCTATGGTTACAGTTATACATGGAATCTGTAAATGTGAAATTACAATCAAAGTATAGTCACCTTAACAGAACATCTTATGTTCTCTTAGATGGAAGAACTCCAAGGAAACTTCAGAAGCTTGAAAATTAACTCCAAGCATCTGTATCAGTTTTTACATAAGTTAATTCATTTGTCAGAAACAGCCTGCTAGTTTTAACTACTTCTGGAACTTAACAGATTTTTTGCAAAACAAATACAAATAGAAACTAAAATATTTTGACAATAATAAATAAATTTGTTTGTAGCCCAATAATTAAGGGATATTCTGTTTTGCCAATCTGATATGATAGTAAAAGCAAACTCTAATTCCTAAATTCTCTTGGGTATTTATCCAAATTAAAACCATATTAGGTAATGGAACCTATCTGCGATTATCCAGAGATACATATATTTGTTCCCTGTTGAGCAAGAAAATAAGAACTTCTCTGTCTTATTTACCTCAGCCCATTCTGTGGAACCCAGAAGTCCAAATTCTTCTGCATCCCAGCTGGCAAAAATGATAGTTCTTCTTGGTCTCCAGCCTGTAATCATTGTTAACATACATAGTTAGGTACACCTGCCTAAAAACAAAGGAAAATTCAGCGAAGTCACTTTTTGTCATCACCTACCAAAGAAACATTACTTACCTCTACTCATCAGTTTGCCAAAACTCTGAACAACTTCTTGCAAAACAGAAGCCCCACTGGTTGGGTCAATACCTCCAAATACCCAGGAGTCCCGATGACCTCCCAGAATAACATACCTGTCTGGGAAAAAATGTGTTCAAAAGAACTACAACTTTGAATACATTATAAAGAGTAGTAATTTATGTTTTTAAATTAAACTTCCTCTCGCTTGAGTTTCCCCATAGAAAATAATCAACACCATAAGGTAGAGTCTTCTTTTAGAATTATACTTTTTTATTCCAAATTTAGTTGTTTCACATCAGCCAGAAAAAAATCAATTGTTGACTAAAATTTATCTTCTCTTACTCTTGTAATCTTTGTAAGAACAAAATGTCTAAAGTAATCCACCAACTCACCAGGTTCCACAGATCCTCTGATAGTTCCGATTACATTGTAAATCCTTGTGATTTTATTGATGTTATGAACACGCATTCTAACCTTCCTAGAATTTCAAAGGGAACAAATTACCTCACATAGAACATTATGTCTAACAGCTTTCTTCCATTGTTTTATTATGAGAAATCTCAGAAGTACAGAAAACTGTATAATAGGACAATAAATTCCCAAATACCCACCACATAAATTCAATAATTGTAATATTGTTGAATCACTTGCAAGAAAGTTGCAGACATCATGACAGGTCACTCCTGTGTACTTAAGCATGCTCCTTAAAGCCAAATTTTAAAAACCAAATATCAATATTTTATATTTTTCCTCCCTCATAGCTCTACTGTTGATATTTATTTAAAGTTCAAAATATTCTATTATTAAACATGTCTTGGGTATTCATTCTAAAATTTTTAAATACACCCTATACAATTACAAAAAATAAGGGAGACAGCCCATTATCTATTAAAGGTCAAAGAAGCTTATTTTTAATGTGTTTTATATTTATATTAATTCCTGCTATTCAGTAACATTTTCCAAGATTATTGAAATAGTCTATCAGTACATTGTTAAAGGGCTGACTGAATGCTGCCTATAAGAAACATGATAAATTCTATTGTTAAATGGCAATTTGAGAAGCACCTGCTAAAATGTACAAGACAACTATACGATGAAACCTTTCCAGGTCATCACTGTTGATTCTGATTTGGGCCTGCCTTTTAAATATTCATTCATCAATTATAATTAACCAACTTAGAATTCACAGGAAAGAACAATCAAGCTCAGAAAGTCAGAAAAAAATGCCATTCACGTTTTATAAATCAAAAATGATATGGGAACATGTTGAGCCTCTTTTTCACAAAGGAACAAAAGTTTTTAATCTATGGTGGGCTTACAGAAGGTGGGCAGGGAACCTACTTAGTACTTCTTTTTTTCGGTACGCGGGCCTCTCACTGTTGTGGCCTCTCCCGTTGCGGAGCACAGGCTCCCGACGCGCAGGCTCAGCGGCCATGGCTCACGGGCGCAGCCATTCCGAGGCATGTGGGATCTTCCCGAACCGGGGCACAAACCCTTGTCCCCTGAATCAGCAGGCGGACTGTCAACCACTGCGCCACCAGGGAAGCCCGGTACTTCATTTTTGAATGGAAGAACAAACAAGTCAAATCCTGTATATTGTTAAGTGCAAATTCTGGTTTTTCTCCCCCTAAAAGTACACTGTGCTTCTGAATGCATACGTAATTCATGTGCAGTATTCAACTAAAAGTGCCTTTGGGGGAAAACTAATCAATGGATGTTGTTTTGCATTTTAAGACATTAAGTAAAAGATTTATTTTTACTAGAATGATAAAAATTAATAGCAAAAATACTCTTTAGCATGTTTCTAAGTATATGAGCCTAAGATCTATTAGTAAGAAAGCCAGTTTCATTGATGTATGTCATTAAATGAAGAAAATTAAGTAAAAAATACTGTAACAATGAAGAATGAGGAAAAAAATCTATTTTAATCTAAACATGAAAATAAACTGGCTATCTGCTCAGATTCTCAAAGAAGCTCATCTACATCTTTAATCCTTATATCTTTCTGGTTTTTAGTATCATTGACTCCAGAAGTACCTAAAAGAATTATCTAGAGAGGTGCTGCTATGGCTTCCAGTGGGGTTGGTGTGAACGATGTGGGCTCAGCAAATAAAGTTCCCGAAATTCTGAAATTCTGGACAACTTGGGAGATTGACTTTGGTGCGTCTACTGCTTCACCACCAATAGGAATGACTTCCAGAGGAATTTGATCCTCAGTTTGGGACTCTTTGCTGTGGGAGTTTGGCTGGACAGGAATTTGAGTGACAATGACCTAAAGGCATCTCAGCCAGGGGTGTAGCCATAAAAACACATAGAACCCCTGTGCTGTATCTGAACCTTCCAAACACAGTGCCTCCCATCTGTGACCATTACACGACTTGCCCTGATGGCAACTGAAGTTTGATTCAGATGGGCAAATTTCCTTCCCTGCCTTGTAATAGAGAAGAACTTCTTGTACTCTATTACAAGTTATTCATTAAGGGATGTAGCCTATAAACTTAAATTATAGATAATGGCCCATCTCTGGGAACCCTGCTTCCCAGGTAATGAACATTAAGTTAAAATATCTTTTTTTAAGCTCACAGGAAACAACCTGACCAGGCCCACCAGTGAATGACTGCAGGGAGGAAGAAATTAACACATCCCCTCTGCAGGCTGACAGGAACCAGGAAATGTTTGACTTTACTCCCTCCCCTTTTAGTATGAAAGGAGCCTGAATTCTAACTCAGGCAAAATGGTTCTTTGGGGCACGCCATCTTCTCGGTCTGTTGGCTTTCCGAATAAAGTAGTTATTCCTTGCCCCAGCAGCTCATCTCTCAATTATTGGCTGGTCGTACAGCGAGCGATAGAGCTTAGACTTGGTAACAGCCTGATTTCCTTTTCTTTGCTGAGTCTATTCAGAACACCCATCTCTGGTCAGCAGGCAGGTTTCAGCTAAAGTGTTGTCCTCTATTCCTTAAAGTTCTGTACATAGTTCCTAAGTTTCTGAAGAGTATGGTCTTTGCTCTTGTCTTTGTTCTTGATCTAATCTAATGGTATTTTAACAAATATTTGAAATAGAGATTATGCACAAAAGAAAAAAAAAGAATTATCTACAGTTGACCCTTGAGCAGCATGAGTTTGAACTGCATAAGTGCCCTTACACGTGGATTTTTTTCACTAAATATGCACTACAATACTACATGATCCGCAGCTGTTTGAATACACAGATGCGAAACCTCAGATATGGAGGGCTAACTGTAAAGTAATATGCAGATTTTTGACAGGCGGGGGGCTGGTGCCCCTAACCTCTGTGTTGTTTGAGGGTCAACTGTATTTGTTTGTCCTGTTATCACCTCAAACTCATCATGTTCCAAATAAACTAAACTTCAGAATGTAGGCTCCACAGGGCAGGGATTTTTGCCTGTTTTGTACACTGCTGAATCCCCAGTACCCAGAATGGTACAAGGGGTATAGTAAATGCTCAGTAAATAATTGTGAATTGAATGAATATACTCCTGTGTGGAAAAACTGAGAACAACCTTAGCTCAACCATCAGAGTTACCTCTGCCTATCATTATCTTTGACTAGACTATTTTACAACTCTGTAGTGACAGAACTTAACTTGTAGTAATGTAGTAATACAAATAATTCATGCCCACTGAAATGCACAATTTCTCTAGTGAACGTTCAATTGACTTACTTCCCCCAATGTGGAAGAAATCAGTTTTTCAGCTATTAAGCGCACTCATTTCAGCATTCCTAAGGAGCTCGTTTTTTGTACCATCTTTGAATTCTCCTTCGAACCAGTTTTAACTCCTTTCTGGTCCCCTTATTAATTAATGCATTAAATAAAATTTTTACACATGTTCAGTTTATATTTGTATGAGAATTATGGTTTTACTTAAAAAAAAAATCCTTTATCGTTTTTGAAGTCCCACTGAGACGTACATGGACTCTGCTTGAAGAACCAAGAATGGGCAGCTTAAAACCAGACATGTCTTCTTTTGGCTCTCAGATGTAAATCCCAAGCAGCAGTAGAATTTTAAATTTGCTGAAACTCTGTATCTCTAACTTAATTTTTTTCTACTGATTCTGTGTTTTGTTTATGTTTCTAGTTTGCTTACAGTAGGTAAATTATTCCCTATTTGTGGTAGCAATGTTTAAGAATTTAAGGTTTCATGCCTTGTCATTTGGCAATCTCTGTAAATGGATCCACAGATTATCAACATCTCTTTTGGGTGAGAAATTACATACATAGTCCTGTTTTTAGCAATTTTTTAAAAAAATTTGTGTATCTGCCCATTTTGAGTTAAAATCAAATAGGATTTTGTGCCCATGGTGAAGGTGAACAGTTTTTTGATATCTTGACCAAGTAAATGTTCTCTTTCTGAGTTTACTCTTGAACTGTGACTGAAGCTATATGTTTATTGATTTCTCTGTCTGTATGTTTCTGTTTATAAATCAGAAAGGCCTATATCTTTCATTGTGTGCCTCTAGACAGTATTAATAATTAGACAATAAAGTCTTTTATATTGAACTCCATTCTAATTGAGAGATAGAGATAAATAAGCACTTATATAAAAATATTTCTAAAATCCCCATAAAATAAAATTGAACTTCTAATACTTTAAAAGTTCAGAAATTAAAAAACATTCTAAGAATACAATTTCACATTGTTAAAGTAAATTGTTAGCAAACAAGACTGATTTAATCATTTTAGCTTAATAAAAACAGCTATATTTTCTCTGATTTATCAGTGTTAAGTTTCCCTTCCTCTCTACATTTCAAGCAAATCAAAGTAGGTAAAGTTCTGATCATGTCATGATGTTCTGCAACTCTGTATAAGCTGTTCTCTGCCTCTGGCATTTCCTGCCTATCTTGATACAGTGGAAAACTTATTTTTTCTGTAGAATTAAGCTCAATGAACACATATTCTGTGATCACTCCTCGAAGTGCTCTCATGGGTTAATAACAATAATACCCAAAATGCTAAGTGTATTGAGCCTTACAGTAGTTACTTGCTTACCCATTTTAACTCATCTAACCCACCCACACAGGAAGTGATCAACAAAGGTTGGCTCCTTTCTCTCTTCTCTTTTACTCCTTCCCTCAAGTTAACCTAGTGCTTCACATGCATAGCATTTTGACAGTTATCTGAAAAACTTAAAAAGGTTAGGTGAAGAGGGAAGTTAAAATGTTAAACCTATAACTCAAATGTAATTTTTGAGATTTACAAAACAAATGCTGTGATATCACTGTTGGAAGAAGAATTTAATACATCATTCCATAAGTAATTCTTAAGCAATATAAAATAATTATTCATTATGAAAAAATGAGAAAAAGAAGATAAGCAAAATATACCTGGCAGAATATTTATCTTGACATTTTTCCATTAAACATATAAACCTTTTCTAGGATACTAAAGTAACATAAAATTACCTGAAAGAATCATGTCCTATGAAGCCAGGCCCGATATTATAATTCACCTTAAGACTTCCCTTCCAGCTCTCATCTGGTGGAGCAGTTCCTCCCAAATAGCTGTCAGGAGAACACAAAAATGACAGATAAATGCTGAGCATCACCGTTTCTTAGAAGAAATCATAAAGTGTGATGATGAGATATTTCACTCATTCATTTAACAAGTATATATTGAGGATTTACTAAGTGCCAGGTACTGTAAAATTTCCTTGCCTTGTGGAGCTTACATTCTAGTGAGAGAGCCATAACTGAGATAAATGAGGAAAATGTTTAATATATTACTGATAAGAGCCAAGGAGGGGAATTCCCTGGCGGTCCAGTGGTTAGGACTCGGCACTTTCACTGCCTGGGCCTGGGTTCAGTCCCAGGTCGGGGAACTAAGATCCCGCAAGCCCCACAGCATGGGCAAGAAAACAAAAAGAGCTAAGGAGAAAAAAAACCAACCAAGATAGTGAGGGGAAATGGGAAGCATCAGCCTTCCTACTTTTGACTTTAATTATTTACATAGGGAAGCATTAGGTCCAAGAAATCCTGAACATGTGAAATTCATGACTGTGTTAAAGAGAAGAAATTTCTAGAAAAGCTGCTGATTATATAGTAGCCACTCACAAAGCAATTACCAAATTGTATTGGTACATACATTAAACAAAAATAGAAGTTAGGTGATTTGAAAAGCAACACAGTTATACAATACAATAATAACAAACATTAACTGAATATCATATTATAGATACTTTATATACATGATCTCATCTACTTCTCATAATAACTCTGTCAGGGAGAAACTATTTCTGTCTTCATTTTACAGAGAAGGAAACTGAGTCAGAGAAAGATTGAGTAACTGGTATAAGTTCACACATCTGGTAAGTGGTAGACATTACCACATTTTTAAAATGCAGGTCACATACAAATATCGAATGAAGATCTAAGAAAATCTAACTGCTTGAAAAATCTCAAATCAGTATTTTTATCTTTGGACATAGTTTTGCTTTTGAGACTTTCATTTGTAGCAAACAAAGTAATGTATTCTTATTATTTCTTAGTCATTAAACTGACTGCTCTTCTCTTATGGAAAAAAAAGAAGATGTGGTCTGTTTTTCCAATTTCAGGAGCCATTCTGATACAAAACATATTCGTTTTAGAAGAGAAAATGGGCATACTAGTGTAAAATATCTTATTCTCAAATCCAACTAGAAAATTATACCGTAATAATATTTCTGCATCATTATATCCAATGGGATGTACAGGGATTTGAGGGATTCCCACTCCTTCTTCAACATCAAGTCTGAAAGTGTACTCTGCAAAAATCAATTACATAAGAGGAAAATGATTGAAGAATCTGAGCAAGGGGTATAAAGGAATTTCTTTTATTACTATTGCAAATTAGCTATACGTTTGAAATGATATTCAAAATTTAAAGTTCCCCAAAAGTCAATTATTGTTTTATCTAATATGGTCTATTTAATTTAAAAGTAAAAAATTAAATCATTTACACTTTAATATAAAATCAGTTATAGGGATTACAGACTCCCCAACTTGCTTTGACATTTCACGTAATTCTCTTGAATTTTACAAGAATATTTTATTTCCTCAAGGATATCTCAAATCCTTCTTAAAGAAGCTTCAGTTAACCAGATACCTGGAAAATGCATCCCAGATTCTGAAACTAGAAAGAATTGTAAAAAAAAAATTAAAGGGAATTTATGAGATATTGTGAATAAGTGATAAGGTTCTTACTCAAACAGTAAAAATATTCTCCTTAAAGGAAGATGAAAAGTATTGTCAGGCTTAAAACCTAATTGGGACTTTGGCTTTCAGCCAAAATAGAGTTCTCTAGAGCATTATTACCATTATCTTAGAAAAAAGGGAGGTTTCAGGACTTCCCTGGTAGTCCAGTAGTTAAGACTCCGAGCTCCCAGTGCAGTGGTCCCAGGTTTGATCCCTGTCAGGGAACTAGATCCCATATGCCACAACGAAGATCCTGCATGCCGCAACTAAGACCCAGAGCAGCCAAATAAATAAATAAATAAATATTTTTTAAAAAGAAGAAGAAAAAAGGGAGGTTTCAAACAAGTGACATCAGATTCCACTTAAGAAAGTAAAAAAGAAGAGCAAATACAGCAAAAATAAGCAGGAGAAAGGATATACTAAACATCAGAGCAGAAATCTGAGAAATAGGAAACAGAAAAATGATGGAGATTATCAATGAAATCCAAAGCTGGTTCTCTGAGAGGATTAATAAAATTGATAAATCTCTAGCAAGACAAATCAGGAAAAGAAGAAAAAAGATATAAATTGCTAATATCAGGAATAAAGACAAGAATAGCACTCCAGTACCTGCAGAAAAAGAGAGAAAAAGAGAGAGAGAATGTATTATGAACAACTCTAAACCCATAAATTTGACAACTTAGATGAAATGGACAAAATTCTTAAACAACACAAACTACCAAATCTCACTAAAAACTACCTATTTAGGTTACCAAATAGGTAACCTAAACAGCCATGTATCTATTAAAGAAATTGAATTTGTAGTTAAAAACATTCCTACGAAAAAAACACCAGGCCCATATGGATTCACTGAAGGATTCTACAAACATTCACAGACAAAAATCAAACCCATTCTATATAAACACTTGCAGAAAAATGAAGAAGATGAAATAGTTCTTAACTCATTCCATGAAGCCAACGTTACTGTTACCAAGATGAGACAGAGATATTACAAGAAAATAAATTGATAGCAGTAAGGGATAAACAATATCCCTTATTACTAAAGACAGATTCTTAATAAAATTTTAGCAAAAATCCAATAATATACCAACACTATGAAAAGAATAATACATTGTGACCAAGTAGAGTCTGTCCCAGGATGTTGTGGTTTAACATTCAAAAATCAATCTGGGGAGTCCCCTGGTAGCTTAGTGGTTAGGATTCTGGGCTTTCACTGCCATGGCCCAGGTTCAATACCTGGTTGCGGAACATCCTGCAAGCTGTGCAGCATGGCCAAAAAAAAAAAAAAAAAAAAACCATCAATCTGTATAATTGAAAAAACATAAATATGAACAACTTAAGATCACTTCAATAGATGCAGTAAAAGCATTTGACAAGGGGCTTCCCTGGTGGCACAGTGGTTGAGAACCCACCTGCCAATGCAGGGGACGTGGGTTCAAGCCCTGGCCCGGGAAGATCCCACATGCCGCGGAGCAACTAAGTCCGTGTGCCACAACTACTGATCTTGTGCTCTAGAGCCTGCGAGCCACAACTACTGAAGCCTGCATGCCTACAGCCCATGCTCCGCAACAAGAGAAGCCACTGCAATGAGAAGCCCGCACACCACGAGGAAGAGTAACCCCAGCTCGCCACAACTAGAGAAAGCCCATGCATAGCAACGAAGACCCAACACAGCCATAAATAAATTAATTTATTAATTTATTAATTTATTAAATTAAAAATAAAATAACATTTCTATTTACTAGGAATGACCAACTGGAAATTGAAATTTAAAATGTAATTTAAAACAGCATAAAACTTTGAAATTTTTATGGGTAAATGTGAAAATAGACATGCATGGTCTGTACAGTGAAACTACAAACATGCTGAGAGAAAGTAAAGAATACCTAAGTAAATGGAGAGTTGTGCCATATTCATGGATCAGAAGATTCAATATTTTTAAAATGTCAATTCTGCTCAAACTGACCTATAGGTTTAATTCAATCTCAAATCAACCTCCCAGGAGACTTTTTGGTAGAAATTGATAAGTTGGTTCTAAAATTCACATGGGAAGGACCTAGAATAGCTACCAAAACTTTGAAAAGAATTGTAACTTGGAGGATGTACATATCTATTAGAACGTAAAGTTAACAAGATTGACCATACTAAGTGTTGACGACGGTGTAGCAGCTGGAACACTCATACACTGCTGCTGCAATATAAAATGGTACAACCAATTTGGAAAACAATTTGAAAATCATCTATCGTATTATCCAGCCGTGCCATTTCTATGTATTTACTCAAGAGAAATAAAAACATATGTACATATAAAGACTTGCATACAACTGTTCATAGCTTTATGTGTAATATCTCCAAAACTTAAAGCAATCCAAATTTCCAACAAAAAGTAAATGAATAAACAAACTGTAGAGTATCCATTCAATGGAATACCATTCATCAAAAAAAAAAAAGAAATGAAATACTGACACAGACATCAACATAAATGAATCTAAAAATAACTATACTGACAGAAAGAAAATCAATGATTTCCTAGGGATTGGCAGGGAGGGGGTAGGGTTGAGAGGAAGGCTGTACAAAAAGATGAGAGGAAACTTTTTTGGGTAATGGATATGTTCATTATCTTGATTGTGGATATGGTTATGCAGATGTCAAAACTTTTCACATTCCACATATTAAATAACACAAAAAAACCATTGGTATTTTTAAAAATAGAAATACATGATCTACAGAAGAATAAAATCGTTAGACAATTCAGAAACCCTAAGTTCTGGTTTGGTAAGAGTAATATTACTTTGGACATAAGAATCTGTGTTTCTGAACCTCTACTAAAGGTAGAGAGAGAATTGAACTGACCCATTCCCCTCTCCATGTCCTCACTTCATGAAAATTTAAAACTGAAATAAAAGGGAAATGCTTTTGAATTCCTAGCAATAGCAATCCAAAATATAATTGCACACAGTTTTGATGTTATTCTATAGATGCTTGCTTGCTTTTATGCCTTCTATAAGGGCAAGTAATATTTTTGCAAAAATGAGTGGACCATAACAGGCTTATCTATTACCTTTAGCTGGATAGCCTGGAGTGAGCGGGTCACCAGCACCATTCAAGTTTAACACATTCCCTCTCTGGGCTGCAGTTCCAGGAAGGTTCCATCCTTTTGGGTATGGCTGTACCCCAGGGGCAGAGTAGTCAGCTGGATCTGAGTACAAGATGATTCCTTTGGCTCTTCCTAACATGGCATTTTTAACCTACAGGGGCAATGTGCAATCCATAATGTAGAAATGGAAAATGACCGATTTACAAATCTAAGAACAAATCAATTTAATGACATAAGGAAATATATACACTTTTATCATCACACTGTTACACATTCAGTTCTCTTTGCCTTGAATACAATTTCTGTCTTGGTAGACTTAACAACTCTCATTATTCAACATAACTCCAAACAAGTTATTGCCTTTTCTGTGAAGCATTCCTATTATCACTAAAACTGCAAAATTAATGTCTCCCTTCTTGGTACGTCTTCTATATTTTGTATATAATTACATTACAAGATGGATTAAAGCATTATAAAATACGTTTTAAACATCTTTCTCCCCTACTACATTGAGGCTGTTTTTGAGAATGGGACACTGTCTTACTCATTTTTAACTATCTACCCGCCAACATTTAGTACATCATAGAGTAAGCATGATGTAAATATTTGTGGAACTAAACTAATTTAAAATTCTACACAGGTGAAGTCCCTGGCGGTCCACTGTTAACACTCTGCAGTCTCACTGCAGAGGGCCCGGGGTCAATCCCTGGTTGGGGAGCTAAGATACCACAAGCCACGCCGTGTGGTCAAAAAATAAATAACATAACATAAAACATAAAATTCTACACAGAACATAGTGTGTGAAACATTGCCCATAGTGTTTTGTAAACATTTTTTCTAACAATTCAAACTGATCACAAATAGGAAAATCTCTCCTGTAAGATACTGAATTCTTTACTACCAGAAGTATTATAGCGAATGATAGATAACTATCAGTCAACTTAAACACTTTCCAGTATTCAGAAAGCACTCTTTTATAATATTAGAAAGAGTAAAATCTGGCACAACTCAATGATGCCCATCAAACTTTTGAAATAATATACAATTGACCGTTGAACAATGCAGGGTTAATCCAAGAATAACTTATAGTTGGCCCTCTGTATCCGCCATGCCTCTGCATCCGCGGGTTTAACTAACGTCCAACCATGTAGTATTGTACTACTTATTATTGAAAAATATCCACGTATATGTGGACCCATGCAGTTCAAATCTGTGTTGTTCAAGAGTCAACTGTGCATTATGATTTAGTCATTCAACTTCTAGGAATGAATCTATATTACAAAAATCTTCACACGAATGTTCAAGTACATATGGACAAAGAAGCCAACAATATAATTATTTTAATAGTAACAAATTTAAGACAAGCCAAGGATCTGTCAACAGAGCAATGGTTAAATAAACTGCTTATCAATTCTGTGAAATACTACATAGCCATCTAAAGTAATGAGGTATTTACTTGATAAGCAGTTACCGAGAAATTACTAAGTACCGGTAACCATCCTAAGCGCTGTCAAACCTAAAGTCGATTAATCCTACTGAGGATTCTAAGAGATTAGTGTTATTATTAGCATTCCTATTTCACATATGAGGAAACACTGGCACAGAGAGGTTAACTAACTTGCTCACAGGAAAAGATCTAGAGAATAGGGGGCGCAGACCAGATCAGAACCCAGGTTGTATGGATCTAGCTACCTATACTCTTAACCACTTTATTATACAACTCTCAATGTGTTGACATGGAAGAATACCCTTGAGTTATTATTGAGAGAAAAAATAAAGTTATACAATATATAGTATCTAATGCCCTCTTTGTAAAAAAAAAATTATGTAATATGAGTATATGGAGAATACTTATATTCATATAATATATTCATATTTCATAGGCCTGGAAAGACCTGTTAAGATTGATTATGTCTGGGCAATGAAATTGAGTAATACATGGGAGATTTTCATTTTTTAGGTTATACAGAATTTCTTCAATTAAATAAAAAATAACATTGCTTTGGTAATAAAACTATTAAGAATAATTTCCCTTTCTAGATATGTGAGGTAGCAAAAAAACAAACAAGAAAACCTCAAAAATAAACCAGGATTTTCTGTGTTACCACGAAAATAGCAAATTTACATATATATATATATATATATATGTGTGTGTGTGTGTGTGTGTGTGTGTATATATATATGTGTATATATATATATATATATATATACACATATATATATATATAAAGCAATTTTGGAAACCATAATGCAAGCTGATCATTTATATTCACAGGTTATATCCTGTCTTTTTCCCTCTAGAAAAGCAAATAACACAATACTTTATTTCCTCTGAAGATTTTCCCATATCTTGCAATAACAATTTTTCCAGTGCAGTTGATATTCATCTCTCTTTCTAGTTTGAAAAAGTCTTCAGTACGAGCGTAGTTTACATATACAAGCTCCCCCTGTGGGAAAACAAAAATAAAACAAAATAAAAAATACATAATACTGCTATAATTAAAAAGAAAACCAAAGAATAAGTTTGCTCCGCAATACTGCATCATCAAAAGTTATCTTTCCTGCCTTGGGCTTAATAAACAGATCCATGCTAATTCTGTAGAAGTCTTTAAAAATATTTCAGTATCCTGAAAGTTTAAAAAAAAAAAAAAGACAATATGTAAAACATTTTAGACAGTGTGCTCTGTCTTGAGGAAATTATTAGCATATCCTGAGCCATGGGAAATAGAATAAATAAAAGTAATTTTTTAAATCCTAACTATGTTTGACTTCCAACCATGGTATTAGTTTAAGAATTTCTGTGGTATGATTTATAAATTCAGATCTATAAATCTATAACAAAGTCAGACTATGAACAAAGGAAAAAAGCTTGAAAACCATCTATTGTCATTACTGAATTAAAGACATGTTCAGCAGTTTCTTAATTATTTCAAAGAGTGGCATCTGCTTATCAGGGTCCAATTTTCATGTATTTATTTTATTTTTTTCTTTTTCTTTTTTAAAAATTATTTTTAGGAAGGCTGTATATAGCATCAAACCTCAAAGTATGAATTAGCATGTATGATCCACCTAATCTTGGTTTTAGTCCTCTACATAGGTTTCTTTAAAAAGGATTTAAAAACTTGAATAAAAAATGTCTTTTATTTTACCTCTGGTGTGCCCTGCGGTGAAAAGGCATTATAGGGTGGTACAATATTTTTAACATCCTCATATCCATCTGGTGGTGGCTCATGGTATGATGTATTGAAAATCTAGCAAGAATTGAAACACATGAAGTTAGAATTATTTCAGATTGCTATTAAGGAATAATGCATTTTGTGGGCAAAAGACCTAAATAGACACTTCTCCAAAGAAGACATACAGATGTCAAACAGACACAGGAAAAGATGCTCAACATTGCTAACCATCAGAGAAATGTAAATGGAAACCACGATGAGGTATCACCTCACAGTGGTAAGAATGGCTATCATCAAGAAGTCTACAAACAACATATGCTTGAAAAAACCATAATGGAAAAGAATATAAAAAAAAAGAATGTCTCTATGTGTATAACTGAGTCACTTTGCTGTAAAGCAGAGATTGGCATAGCATTGTAAATCAACTATACTTCAAAGAAATTTTAAAAAAACAAATGCTGGAAAAGGTGTGGAGAAAAGGGAACCCCCCTACACTGTTAGTGGGAATGTAAGTTGGTACAGCCACTATGGAGAACAGTATGGAGGTTCCTTAAAAAACTAAAAATAAAGCTACCATATGATTCAGCAATCCTACTCCTGGGCATATATCCAAAAAAGACAAAAAATCTAATTCAAAAAGGTACATACACCCAAATGTTCACTATTTACAATAGCCAAGACATGGAAACAACCCAAGTGCCCATCAACAGATGGTTGTTTTAATAAGATGTAGTTTATATATACAATGGAATATTACTCAGCCATAAAAAAGAATGAAATTGCCATTTGCAGCAACATGGGTAGACCTAGAGAATATCATGCTAAGTGAAGTAAGTCAGAAAGAGGAAGACAAATATATGATATCACCTATATGTGGAATCTAAAAAATAATATAAGTGAATCTATATACAAAAGAGAAAGACTCACAGACATAGAAAATAAACTTATGATTACCAAAGAGGGAAGAGGGGGAGGGATAAAATAGGAGTATGGGATTAACAGATACACACTACTATATATAAAGTAGATAAGCAACAAAGATTTACTGTATAACACAGGGAACAATATTCAATATCTTATAATAACCTATAATGGAAAATAATCTAAAAATATATATATATTAAAAAAAAACTAAATCACTTTGCTATACACCTGAAAGTCACACAATATTGTAAAACAATCACCTCATTTCCATGTTCATCCGTGATTGATATGTAGTTGGCATTTGTCTCATTAGGGTAAGACAGGAGAACATCATAATGAACCAACTTGGCTGAATCAAGTCCAGATTTCTTCCACTGGGTTTGGATTTTCTTGGCCAGCAGCAAATTTTGTTCTGTTCCTGCCAGATGAGGTAGCTCTGTAAAAGAACTAAAATGAAAATAAAAGGAGGAGTTAAAGACTATATTCAGAAAATGTACCTGAGAACTATTCTAGATGCATAACTCATATTTTAGGCATTAAGTTATCATTTCTATAACAGGGATATAAAAAACCCAGCTAGAGCTTTCTAGATATGCCAGTTTTTAAATATTTGTGTGTAACTGCAGTTTTCACACTATGTTCCCACAGAAAAGAACACATCCCATGGTGAACACATTCAATCAGCAGAGGTTCAGGTATGAGAAAACATGCTGGAAGGATGGCATGCGTCTACATCAGTGGTGCTAACTTCTTGCTGCTTAACAGGAAATGAGGACATTCTGAAAAACAGATCATAATGTTTGCCAGAGACCAGTTGGGCAGTCTTGTTAACATACACTTCTACTGCTGTTTTCATGCTATTGTACGCAGTTGTCTATTTATCTCATTGAAGCTAGAGTCCATGCATTTTTATTTGTATATTCCCTAATGCTCAACACTGGCCTGTTACCCAGGAATTACACAATACAGGTTTGTTGAACTGAATTTGAGCAATGTTCTCTAGGTTCTGAGTCTAAATGATTTGGAACAGTTAAATGACTTCACAGACATAGTTCTGAATGAAATTCACTTGGCTTGAGGTAAATAATATTTTAAAAGTTTCCCAAACCCTCTCCCTCCATAAGTAGGGTAATGATACTTTCGTAGATTGTTTTTTTAATCAACCATAGTACAACCAAAAAAGACAGACAGTAAAGAAAAACCAGTACTTATTGAAAACTTACTATATGCCAGGAACTGGAACAGGTATTTCACCTGGGCTTTCTCATTCAATCCTCACCACCCTTCTGCCATTGTCCCCGTTTTGCAAATAAGGAAACAGAGAGTAGTTAAATACCTTGTCCATAATTTCCTAAGTATTAAATGCCAGGGCTGGCATCTGAAAGTTGCAGTTGTCTGACCTTGAGAAATTGTGTTATTTTTAAATCATTCATCTGATCATTTTGATCAACTGCTTTTAAAACCCTTCTATCTTCTACATTATAAAGTTCACACTAGGCATGGCATTTGCGCCCTTTTTCAAATAATCCACTGTTTCACCTTTCCAGCTTCATTTCCCACCACTCACCTTTATCACTTCTTCACTCTATATCATTTAATATGTTAATTGGTCTCCTAAAATGACCACCATTGTTAGCCTTTGCACAAGATCTTCTCTCAGACATAAATATCATCCTATTTACATGAATCTCCCTGTATCACCACTGCTAGTCATTCACCTTCCCCACCTGTAAGCTATTAATCATCCATTAGGACTCTTCAAGCATATTCTCCTCTGTGAAGCTTTCCACTTCTATATCATTAAGTCAAAGCTGCAAGTTACTGATATTTAATATTGTACAATATTTGTAAAAAAAATATTAATGTGTTTGTAGACAGAAGTTATTTTACATGCATAGTAAAACCACTGAGGCTAGGGATAGTTAAAATTCTACTTCAGGGCTTCCCTGGTGGTGCAGTGGTTAAGAATCCACCTGCCAATGCAGGGGACATGGGTTTGATCCCTGGCCCAGGAAGATCCCACATGCCACGGAGCAACTAAGCCCGTGTGCCACAACTACTGATCCGGTGCTCTACAGCCCACAAGCCACAACTACTGAGCCCACGTGCCACAACTACTGAGCCCACATGCCACAACTACTGAAGCCCGCGGGCCTAGAGCCCGTGCTCCGCAACAAGAGAAGCCACAACAATGAGAAGACCGCACACCGCAACGAAGAGAGTAGCCCCCGCTCGCCACAACTAGAGAAAGCCCACGCTCAGCAACGAAGACCCAACACAGCCAAAAATAAAAACAAATAAATAAATAAATTTATTTTAAAAATAAAATTCTACTTCATATAATTCATTATTGTTTTATTTTCTGTAGTGAGCAAATAATATTCTTACAATTAGCAAAAAAATAAGTATATTTCCTTCATTTAAGATGGAGGATTAACCATGAAGTTTTGCCTCCCATCTTTTAGGCAACCCACTGAAATGAAAGACAGAAGTGAAAAAAACAAAAAGCAACAGGGAATAACTTTACTGAATTTCTCTTTATGGTCCCAAGTGGGACACTGCAGCTCCAGGCATCATATATTCATGCTGCAACATTCAGGAGAAGCAAGTACAAACAAGAAAAGCTATTTCCTCTTTTGTGTTTCTTTCAACAAAGGAAAACTTTTTGTAGAGGATCTCAGCTAAATTTTTCTCCCATTTCATCAGGGATAATAGGGTCATATACCCCTTCTCCAACTAACCCTTGTCAGAAGGAAGTTATAATGATTGGATTATAGACCAGATTCTTGGGCTGGATGGAAGGTAACCCTCACTGAACACAGGTCCCCCTTAAGGAGTGCGAACATGAGCAGTTGAGGCTCTGTCAAAAAGGAAGTGGCTGGGGAGAAATCAACTTTTTCCCACTACATTAATCCCTTTAAACCAATCTTGAAACCTTCCTTTCCCTGGGAGACTCTTTCACTGGTCATAAATCTCTATTCTATAATCAATCAATTCTATTTCCTCTGCCCATTCCTGAATGTTTACTTGACTTCTTTGCCTTAACTGGTTTCTTCGGGGGACCCTGCTCATGCTTCCACATACCTCAGGCCCAGATGATCATTGAGGAGGAGTCCTGCTTACTCTCCATGGGCTCTTTCAAATATTTTTCCTTTATCTTCTCTCAAAAATAACAACTCTTTTAAAACTCATACCAGAAGTCACCACCTACTATGCCTTCTAGGTGCTGTCAAAAATGTGGGTCACTCCAAGACTCACTAAAGTCTTGGGCTCCTAATTCAACGCATTTCACTCTACCTCGATTCTTGTCATCATTCTTGGTATGCAACTTCTGTCTTCAGTTGGATGTAAAGAAAAGAAAAGCCAACTCTAACAAGATGACATCATGCAAACTATTCATACATAACTTATCACCTTATGCTATATTATACGTTAAAGCAAAGGAGAGAGAAAATAAAGACATAAATTTTAATGTTTGGTCAAGAGCATCACCAAGTTTTGCTTCTGGCACCTCATGTATTGATAATTTTCTAGGTAATTTCTTCTGGACACTTTATGATACGCTGCAGTTCAACAGTGTTTACATTTTACCTGGTCTTTTACACATTTTTATTTTGTTTTATTTTATTTATTTTTTTGGCCACTCTGAGCAGCTTGCAGGATCTTAGTTCCCTGACCAGGGATTGAACCCGGGCCACGGCAGTGAAAGCACTGAGTCCTAACCACTGGACCACCAGGGAATTCCCCACATTTTTAAATATAAGCATTCTGTCTTACTTGATAAGACAATTGGCTATTTTCATGTATTGCATGAGAAATATAGAATGAGTCTTTCTTCAAATGACATCCACCCTACTGCCTATAGATTCTTTTCCTATATCTCCAAACAAGCACCTCAAAACAGACATTTTGATTAAGCTTTCCTGATACCTCTGTGCCTCAGTCATAAATCAGCTCAAATTTCTAAGAAAGAGTATAGCTGTTTTCATTCCTCTACTTCAGCTTGCTATAGTTCATCCATCAAAAGTAAGATCGAACTTTGTGATCACCTCAAATCACAGGACAGATGGGGAGGAAATATACTACACCATATGAACTTCACCTTGTTCATTTGATTCCAGGGTTTAATTGGAGTCTCAAAAGGAGAGAAGAGAAAGAATGCTGCAGAAAATTTTCAAGAAATAATGAACAGGGGACTTCCCTGGCGGTCCAGTGGGTAGGACTCCACACTCCCAGTGTGGGGGGCCCAGGTTCGATCCCTGGTTGGGGAACTAGATCTCACATGCATTCAGCAACTGGGAGTTCATGTGTGCAACTAAGAAGTCCGCATGCTGCAAATAAAAGATCCTGCATGCCGCAACTGAGACACGGAGCAGCCAAATAAATAAACAAAGAAACAAAAAAATAAATAAATATTTCAAAGAAAAAAGAAAGAAAGAACAAAAAGTAGCGTTCCTAAAGTAGTGAAAGACAAAAGTTTACAAAGTCAAAAAGCTCAGAGAGGATTTCCCTTGTGGTCCAGTGGTTAAGACTCCATGCCTCCACTGCAGGGGGCATGGGTTCAATCCCTGGTTGGGGAACTAAGATCCTGCATGCCATGTGGTATGACCAAAAATAAAAGAATAAAAGCTCAGAGAGGGGCTTCCGTGGTGGCACAGTGATTGAGAGTCCACCTGCAGATGCAGGGGACGCGGGTTCGTGCCCCGGTCCAGGAAGATCCCACATGCCGCGGAGCGGCTGGACCCGTGAGCCATGGCCACTGAGCCTGCACGTCCGGAGCCTGTGCTCCGCAACGGGAGAGGCCACAACAGTGAGGGGCCCGCGTACCGCAAAAAAAAAAAAAAAAAAAAAAAAAGCTCAGAGAGACTTAAATAGAATACATTTGAAGAAAACTATGCCTAGGCACATATTAAACTGCTGAAAATTAAAGACAAAAATGATACATGTTATATAACTTAAATAACTGTGGCCTGCTCACCGCATGCCACTACCAGCCAGATGAAGTAAAAAAAAAATATTTAAAGCTCTGAAAGGAGAAAAAACAAGGTGATCTCAGAATTCTATATCCAAGAAAAATTTTCTTCAAGAATTAAGATAAAATAAATGTTTTATAGACAAAGGAAAACTAAGAGAATTTGTCAACACCAGACCCGACATTACAGGAAATGCTTAAGAAAGTTACTCAGACTAAATAGATATACTACAGGATAACCTAAATTTTCAGAAACAAATAAAGATACTGGAAACAATAAAAAATAATATTTTACGTTTCTCAGATATTTAACTCTTAATTGCCTTTCAATAGGTATAACTGTTCAAAGAAAAAAATTATAACATTGTTTTGTTAGGTTTACATTGTATGTGTATATGATAATTTCAACAACTATCATATAAAGGATGGTAGAAAGATGGTAAATGGACATATAGAAATGTGAGTTTTCTGCATT